GAGTGTTTTTGTTATATTTTTAGATCACCTGAGTAAACTCATGTGACCTATTGCTATTATTGCTATCCGTTTTGTGCGTTAACATTTGAACATTTTCAACTTCTTCTCTGCAACCACTTCGGCACAAAGCATCTATTGATAAAGCATAAATTGTGAACAATTAAACATTTTTAGCTCTTCTCTGAAAAATCCACTGAACCAATTTCAACCAATTTTGGCATATAGCGTCTATGGGTTTTTTCTTTGAAGGGGTGTCAAATAAACTAACTAAATATCTATTATAATGAATTTCATGTGTTAATGGCCCTGCCCCCTGATTATATTGGAAAATGCCTGGGGAGGATGGGGCCAAAATGTGTATTTTAGGGCCCTAGGGACCACTAAAATTCTTTTCTTTGAAATCTTCTTCTCTGCTCCTGGGTAATAAGCAGATGAACTACCTATATAGTTAACATGATGTGCAAGGGTTTTTCTTTCAGAATTGTGAATTTCCAGACCCCAGGGTCAGGGATGCCATAGGGGGCCGGGGGGGGGGGACTCTACTTATATACTGAAAATGAATGGTTTGAAATCTGCTCATTGGTATTAATCAAACATTTTTGATAAAAAAATGTGCAATTTGTGGACCTAGGGTCAGGGGTTCGTGTGTCGTAGGGGGACTTCTGATTATTGCTGAATATTTCTGATTAGTTGATATGCATTTTTTCGTTACCCTACCCTGGGTATGGGTATTAAGGAGGCTAATGATCCAAACAAACCAATTGCCAAGTCCATAGTTATAATTAGCAATGGTGCCAGCCTCTTTCAAAATTGTGAAGACCATAGCATATATACCTTCACTTCACTACTCCTCCGAAACTGTAGACCGTAGAGACAAACCTTCACTAATGTCTTAAGGGTCTTTAGGCCTAACTTCACTGTATAAGTGCAAAAGAATCTGATGACCCCTTATATGAGTTATTGCCCTTTAACTTCTTTATACTTACTATGAAACCTTATATCTTGAAAACTATAAATGGTAGAAGCATGGGGTCAATTTCATTGTGACCCTTGACCATTGACCTTGAATATTTTGTCAAGGTCAAAGGTCAAGGTCATTTCAAAAATGAGAAATTAAGCTCTTTTTATATATCTTTTGTCTTTCAACATATACTTTATGTCTTTGCATGTTCAATATATACTCTCAAAACTATTTTGAATATTTCATTCTTGTCTCCAAAGATTGAACCTCTCAAAAGTTATTGCCCCTTGTGCGAAAAACTGTTATCGCTACTCCTCCAAAACCGTAAACTGTAGAGGCACGAAACCTGCACTAATGTTTGAAGCGTCTTAAGATACAACTTCATTGTATCATTGCCTAAGAATCTGATGACCCCTTATACGAGTTATTGCCCTTTAACGCATAAGCGCTTACTATTAAACCTCATAACTTCAAAAGTATAAGTCGAAGAGACATAGGGTTAATTGCAATGTGACCCTTGCCTTTTGACCTTGAAAAGTTTTTCAAGGTCAAAGGTCAAGGTCATTTAATTTTTTTTTAATTTTCACTTTCTTTCAAGCCATTTCCCTTAAAATTAAATTTAAAGAGTAAAATATAAAATTATAAGAAATTTTAAAAGGTGGAAAGATCTCTTATTGTTCTGTGAACAACTTGTCTCCTAGTTTTTTTTAATTATTTTTCTGCCGCATGTTTTTTGTTTGAAGATTTATGGAAAAGATTTATAGTCCATAAGAATGTACTCTGTAAAAGATTGTTGCAGTTCACCCTGCGAAAATGAACCTTGACCCCTTTCGAAGTAATTGTCCCTTTTGCAAGAAATGCTTGTTATCGCTACTCCTCAGAACCGTAAACCGTAGCGGTATGAAACGTTCACCAATGTCTTCAAGTAATTAAGGGGACTCTTCAATCTATTCATTGCGAAAGCATTCGGTGACCCCTTCAATAGTTATTGCCCCTAAACTTTTTGAATTTTACAAATAATTAAAAATTTTCAAAACGACAAGTGTAGAGATATGGGACCAACAGCATAAGATTTATTGACCTTTGATCTTAAAAATTATGCAAAGGTCAAAGGTCAAAGTCATTCCAAAAATGAGAAATTAAGCATTTTTTACATCTTTTTTGTCTTTTAACAAACACAATCTGTCTCTGCATCATTAATATGTACTCTTAAAACTATTTCAAAGATTTCATTCTCGTCCCTTCAGATGAAACCTTTTAAGAGATATCACCCTTTGTGCGAAAAACATTGTTAGGGTCATTTTCAAAAAAAGTCCACTTTTTTGTCTTTTGATCAGAATAATAGGAAAAACATTCTTAAGAGTGAAATTTTTTTCCCCGTTGGTTAATATACATGGTCATACAGCTTATAAGTTATTTTATGATCATCTCCCAGGTGTTTTATAAAAAATATTCTATGCATTCCGAGTAAAATTTAACAGTAAAACCATGTCACTTCAACAAAAATTTTATAACGTGCTTAGTTCAATGATTCAAAATATTACCCTGTGAAGATATGTACAAATTTTGCACCTCATATTAATTGAATTCTTTTACAGATTAATTTAATATGATTGTTTTAATAGCCGCCCACTAAATACGAGTATTGTGCATTTAACATTCAGGAAGTGACATGTCCTACAAGTTTATGTCATTCTCTCTGTGAAAATGTTAAAATAAAAGTTATCTCACTTTCCTAGGAACTGTTTTCATGATCCACATTATATCATCATTTTCTGTTGTCTCAAGTTTATGAGCGCCATGATTTGAAAGTGAGTAAAGAAAGGGTTCAAAGGTTAAGTTTGTCTTATTGGTAGAGTATAATTAAAATACGTGCTATCTGTGACCTTCATATTATGCAAGTACTCTTTAAATTGTTTATTCTGCTAGAACAATTAGATTAACTAAATTACAAAGAAATGGTTTCAGTGTCTCAATGATGCAAAAAGAGTACTTATACTAACTAACTGGTAATTTATATGAGAAACGTCCATCCTGTTACTGTCATTCCTGTTACCATTAATATGGTAACAGTTACTTGAGTTTTAACAATAAAAACAATTACTTTTATTTTTCTAAGTAATATAACCTTAATAACACATGTTAAAAAACTTTATAAATCATATTGAAATTTGTTTGTGCTTCAAATAGTACCATTATAACTTAAACATGCACTCTTGTAACAGAATGTCAGAAATTGTAACAGGAGGTCATTTCATTTTTATATATCTTTGAAGTTTTATCATTTGTTTTTCTTAAAATTATGAAAAATTTTAGTTTTGCAACAGCATAGAGTACCTTAAATAAACAAAAATTGAAGTGATAAATATTTTAATAGCACTTTACCATTAAATTTTGTAACAGGATGGACATAAATGTCTTTTATTGTCTCGAATTTGCCAGATTTGACAAAGTTTTTTTTTTATTCTACATTTCTTTCTCTTTTCTTAACCAATAAAGTTTAAAAAAGTCAATTTTTATATCAAATGTAGATTTCATTGTCCATCCTGTTACACTGTTTGGTCCATCCTGTTACTGTTTTGTCCTTCCTGTTAAAGATTATTGTTACCAGTATATTTTCCTAGTTTAAATTGCTTTGGCAGAGCACATGTTTAAATAACTTTCTGTAATTGTTTATTCTAATCATAAAAATAATGTACAAGAATGTTTTTTTCAACTATAGCATATAAACACTCTGCAATAAGGCTTTTCATGAAGAGAAACCCGTAGATTTTGCTTCTATTTGGTATATGGTAGTTTGACATGCTTTTAAACGCTCATATATTAGATGAATGTCAGACATCTCGGCATTCAATTATATTTTTTTCATTTTTAACGATATACAATAGATTATTTGATGAAAATTTTGAAATAGAGTTTTACAGCTCTTTTTATGAAAGTTTTTGAATTTTACAAATAAAATGTCAAAATTTTTTAAAAGAAATATTTTCTTTTATGCAATGCAGTGGATTTTAGTAGTTTATTACTGTATTATTCAAATAAAGTTGAAAAATCATAGGAAAACCACTTTCATTTTTCAAAAATATGTCATTCAAAAAATGGTTTTTTTGAAAATGATCCGTTATTGCTACTTCTCTGAAACCGTAAACCGCAGAGACATGAAACCTTCACTATATCTCTTTTGGGATTTTAGGCACAACTTTTATGTTCAAGTGCGAAAGGATTGGTGACTTCTTGAATGAGTTACTGCCCTTTAATGCTTTTGTGCTTACATTAAACCTTGTAACTTTAAATCTTTAAGTCATAGAGGCATGGAGTTAATTGCAATGTGACCCTTGACATTTGACCTTTAATATTACTTGAAGGTCAAAGGTCAAGGTCACCTCAACATTTTTAAATTTTTCATTTTTTTCTTCTTTAAAGCCATTCCTGGCTTTTTTTTAATGAAATTTGATTTTAAAGAGATAAATATTAAATGAAATTGAAATTCAAAGAAGGTGGAAAGACCTCTTATTGTTCTGTGAACAATAAGTCTCCTAGTTTATAAATGCATTACTTATTTGTAAATTTAAATTTAGATACTACATGTAAGTACATAAATCCCACCTCAGCATCCAAAAAAAAGGAGTTCAATATGCAGTAAATCGTGAAAATACTTTAATACCAGTAAATTGTAAATGGTGAAAGTTGTGACGCAGTAAATCAAAAGGCTTTAGCATAAACAAATGTTGGCAGGTAGAACATGATATAATACCAAATAAAGGAAGGAAACAGCTTTAAATATTTATTTAATTTCACACACTTTTACATTGTTAGATTTAATATCGGGGATTTTATTCTCCCCAAGTTCAAATGAGATCCATCGAGATTTTCACATACATGTAGAATGTAATGAAAGTCTTTGCTCATTTTTAAACAGAATAGACAAAAAAAAATCTTTATCACTCGATGCTGAAAGATTGGAGTATAGAAGTGCATTAAAATCCTGAGAACTGTCTTTCAAATAAGGATAGTGCCTGAGAACTGTCTTTCAAATCTATAGTCTCCCTTCTCCCCGACAGTATCTACAATACAAATCCAATTTCCCCCTTCTCTCCAGGAGCGCCCACTTCTCCCTTGTCCCCTTTAGAGCCCTGACTTCCTTTGTCCCCTGTGCCACCAGCGTCCCCTTTATCCCCTGTTGGACCAGTCTCGCCTGCATTCCCCGTGACGCCTTTAGATCCTTTAGCCCCCTTCGTGCCCTTGCTTCCTTTAGAGCCTGGGAAGCCAACGTCTCCCTTGGTTCCTTTACCTCCCTTACTTCCCTTAAGTCCTTTAGGTCCAGTATCGCCAGGTATACCTTTCTGCCCCAGCGATCCTAGTGTGGCTGGGCCTTCAGCACCAACTGACCCCGGTGCCCCGGGGTCTCCTTTGTCTGTGGAGGGTTCACCCTTATCTCCCTTTGGCCCCGCAGGTCCGTTGGGACCAGTCGGCCCCGTGTCACCTAAATCTCCCTTTTCACCTGAATATATTTAAAATGATATTATACATGTGTTCACATACATCTCAAAAGTATCATTAATTAGATATTTACTTTTATTACCTAATCAGTGAATTTTGTTGTTTTATTATAGATTTAATATTTTCGTCTATTCTGTATGTGTTTTCAGTTTTTCTTATCTTTTCAAACCGATCTACTGACTGGCGATCTATTGCCCGGTCAGTAGACTGCGATTTATTGCCCGGTCAATAGACTGCACGTTCTATTGACCGGCAACGTATTTCGAAAAAAAAAAACGATCCGGGTTTCAAATTTAGTTGTTTCAATACTGCACAGACATGGTAAACAATCATCTTATTCATCATTCGACATTGGTTTTAAAAATTGTGTGATTTCAATGGTCGGATATTTTATTTAATGAGAGTTACTTTTAATTAATACAATGACCGGTCCTTTGGGTGAGACCTATCAACCGAGGTCCCGTGTCGCAGTAGGTGCACTGCTGGCACGAAAAAGGTCCCTCTCCACCGGCAAGTGGTGGCGTCTCCATATGAGTGAAAAATTTTCGAGAGGAATGTAAACAATAGTCTATTCAATCAATCTTTAACTACTATTAAAGATGCACCATATCTAGGTATATATTTACAATATGGTACGGGAACCTTAACATTTTTCTGAATATACAATATTGTGAACACTTAATACGGAAAATAAAATTAGGTAATAAAACAATTATTTAATGCCTTAACAGTCAATAGACAGAAAATTTTTCCCTCGGTAGGGAACAGCTCAGTGTGTTCTATTGAACACACTGAGCTGTTCCCTGCACCTCGGGAAAAATATTCTGGTCTATTGACTGCTCAGGCATTAAATAATTGTATAATACATGTTATTATGCTTCTAGAAAGGTAATTAACATTTTCTTTAATCTCTTCATGCAATCAGAATTATTCAGTTCACAAATTGACGTCATCATAAGAGAAAATTAAACGTGCATATCATGGAGCGTTGTCTCTTGTAATTTTTTGTAGTTACAGTTGATGTCAGATATGGCAACCTGATGCAAGGGAGATATAATTCAAATTACTTATGATCTCTGTTTCGACCAGACTCAATATCTAGTATATCTTTTATTTATTTGTTTTAGTTTGGTATATGATTGCTATGTATTCTTGTGTTTTGTATATGATTGCTGTGTATTTTTGTGTTTTGTATGATTGCTATGTATTCTTGTGTTTTGTATATGATTGCTGTGTATTTTTGTGTTTTGTATATGATTACTGTGTATTTTTGTGTTTTGTATGATTGCTGTGTATTTTTGTGTTTTGTATATGATTGCTGTGTTTTTTTGTTTTTTGTATATGATGGCTGTGTATTTTTGTGTTTTGTATATGATTACTGTGTATTTTGTGTTTTGTATGATTGCTGTGTATGTTTGTATTTTGTATGATTGCTGTATATTTTTTGTGTTTTGTATATGATTGCTGTGTGTTTTTGTGTTTTGTATATGATTGCTGTGTATTTTTGTGTTTTGTATATGATTGCTGTATATTTTTGTGTTTTGTATGATTGCTGTGTATTTTTGTGTTTTGTATATGATTGCTGTGTTTTTTTTGTTTTTTGTATATGATTGCTGTGTATTTTTGTGTTTTGTATGATTGCTGTGTATTTTTGTGTTTTGTATATGATTGCTGTGTATTTTTGTGTTTTGTATGATTGCTGTGTATTTTTGTGTTTTGTATATGATTGCTGTGTATTTTTGTGTTTTGTATGTGATTGCTGTGTATTTTTGTGTTTTGTATATGATTGCTGTGTATTTTGTGTTTTGTATATGATTGCTGTGTATTTTTGTGTTTTGTATATGATTGCTGTGTATTTTTGTGTTTTGTATATGATTGCTGTGTATTTTTGTGTTTTGTATATGATTGCTGTGCATTTTTGTGTTTTGTATGATTGCTGTGTATTTTTGTGTTTTGTATATGATTGCTGTGTATTTTTGTGTTTTGTATATGATTGCTGTGTATTTTTGTGTTTTGTATGATTGCTGTATATTTTTTGTGTTTTGTATGATTGCTGTGTATTTTTGTGTTTTGTATATGATTGCTGTGTATTTTTGTGTTTTGTATATGATTGCTGTGTATTTTTGTGTTTTGTATATGATTGCTGTGTATTTTTGTGTTTTGTATATGATTGCTGTGTATTTTTGTGTTTTTTGTCCTCTTGATGTTTACAAATCGTGCTTACTCCACTAAAAAAATCGTGGCTTACGTTAAATTTTTGCGGACAAACACATGAAATACATACGTACATACATACATACATACATACATACATACATACATACATACATACATACATACATACATACATACATACATACAGATGGACGGACAGTCAAAAAAAAACTATATACATCCTACTCTTCGATTACGTGGGAATAAAAATTGTATTTTTATCCACAAAAGTTACATGTTTACAAATATTCTTATTGAGTAAAAAATACTCAATTATCCGTTAAGGATGTTCAGTTTACCATTAACTGGTGTGCTAACTATAACTGAGGTTATATGGTCTTAAGGATGTGAAGCGTTTCCGTTGTTTTCAATGTGATTTACTGCATCTGGTCACAGGATCATGAAACAGACTTAGACTTAAGTCAAATTTTTAATCGCCTGTAAAATGTTTATTGATTATCGAAAACCTCTAGTTCTGCAGAAAACACTTTTGTAAAGTAATATTTATTTTTTTTTCTTTTTTAGTTTGCTTTAAGCGTATCACTGTATACTGTTCTGATTTTAGTTTGCTCTGAGCTGTATTACTGTGTATACTGTTCTGATTTTAGTTTGCTTTGAGCGTAATTACTGTATACTGTTCTGATTTTAGTTTGCTTTGAGCGAATTACTGTATACTGTTCTGATTTTAGTTTGCTCTGAGCGTATTACTGTTTACTGTTCTGATTTTAGTTTGCTCTGAGCGTATTTGTGTATACTGTTCTGTTTTTAGTTTGCTCTGAGCGTATTATTGTTTACTATTCTGATTTTAGGTTGATTTGAGCGTGTTACTGTGTATACTGTTCTGATTTTAGTTTGCTTTGAGCGAATTACTGTATACTCTTCTGATTTTAGTTTGCTTTGAGCGAATTACTGTATACTGTTCTGTTTTTAGGTTGATTTGAGCATGTTACTGTGTATACTGTTCTGATTTTAGGTTGATTTGAGCGTGTTACTGTGTATACTGTTCTAATTTTAGTTAGCTCAGAGCGTATTACTGTTTACTGTTCTGATTTTAGGTTGATTTGAGCGTATTACTGTTTACTGTTTTGATTTTAGTTTGCTCTAAGCGTATTACTGTTTACTGTTCTGATTTTAGGTTGATTTAAGCGTGTTGTGTATTTGTTTTACTGTTTACTGTTTACAAATATTCTTATTGAGTAAAAAATACTGTTTATCCGTTAAGGATCAGTGAACTATAACTTTAGGTCTTAAGGATGTGAAGCGTTTCCGTTGTTTTCAGTGATTTACTGCATCTGGTCACAGGATCATGAAACAGACTTAGACTTTGTCAAATTTTTAATCGCCTGTAAAATGTTTATTGATTATCGAACGAACCTCTAGTTCTGCAGAAAACACTTTTGTAAAGTAATATTTATTTTATTTTTCTTTTTTAGTTTGCTTTAAGCGTATCACTGTATACTGTTCTGATTTTAGTTTGCTCTGAGCGTATTACTGTGTATACTGTTCTGATTTTAGTTTGCTTTGAGCGAATTACTGTATACTGTTCTGATTTTAGTTTGCTTTGAGCGAATTACTGTATACTGTTCTGATTTTAGTTTGCTTTGAGCGAATTACTGTATACTGCTCTGATTTTAGTTTGCTTTGAGCGAATTATTGTATTCTGTTCTGATTTTAGTTTGCTTTGAGCGTATTACTGTTTACTGTTCTGATTTTAGGTTGATTTGAGCGTGTTACTGTGTATACTATTCTGTTTTTAGTTTGCTCTGAGCGTATTACTGTTTACTATTCTGATTTTAGGTTGATTTGAGCGAATTACTGTATACTCTTCTGATTTTAGTTTGCTTTGAGCGAATTACTGTATACTGTTCTGTTTTTAGTTTGCACTGAGCGTATTACTGTTTACTGTTCTGATTTTAGGTTGATTTGAGCATGTTACTGTGTATACTGTTCTGATTTTAGGTTGATTTGAGGTTGATTTGAGCGTATTACTGTTTACTGTTTTGATTTTAGTTTGCTCTAAGCGTATTACTGTTTACTGTTCTGATTTTAGGTTGATTTAAGCGTGTTACTGTGTATTCTGTTCTGATTTTAGTTTGCTCTGAGCGTATTACTGTTTACTGTTCTGATTTTATGTTGATTTGAGCGTGTTACTGTGTATACTGTTCTGATTTCAGTTTTCTCTGAGCGTATTACTGTTAACTGTTCTGATTTTAGTTTGCTTTGAGCGAATTACTGTATACTGTTCTGATTTTAGTTTGCTTTGAACGTATTTACAGTGTGTGAGTCTTACCTTTTAGTGCGATGTCACATGAACAGGCGTTAACGTTGCTTGTGAGAGAGATGATTTTGGCTTTAATCTGTCCTATTCTGATATAGAGGGCCGAATAGTAGCTCTGCCAAGTACTGTATTGAGCCGACGAGGAGCAAGCAAGCGCCAACACCACCACGAACACAAACGCCAGCTTCATTTTTCTTGTACCGACATTCGCTTGGCTGCTGTGAAAGGACTGTATGGAGGCTTTCTCTCTGCATGGATAAATTTAATACAAGGAAAATATCTCGCATACTGTTGCCAACCATGCCTAATTCTATTTTGAAAGATTAGATGTTCTTTTTGCATAAAAAAATGATACTAACATGTACGAGTATAAGATGATATTACCAGATTGACAAAAATAATATTTTTTATTCATTTTTTTAATTGCCTCTTTTTTGATATATAATGTTATAAAATAACAAGAGGCACACGGGTCTTATAGGTCACCTGAAAATTCACAATTCACAATTTTGAAAGAGGCACCATTGCTTATCATAATTATAAACCTAGCATGCTTACTCTATTTACTTAATACCCATCGGTAGATAAGAGTAACAAAGAGAAAATGCATCTTCACTTTATAACCAGTTGTGTACCCCACCCCACGGGAACCACTAACCATGGGGCCACATATTTCAAAATTTTGGAAATTTTTATAAAATGGTTGATTAATACTAAAGAGCAGATTTCAAAGCATTAATTTATTTTCATACTATGTAAATCCCCCCCCCGACCCAGCGGGCATAAAAAGATAAAGATTTTGCTAGATGCAGCTTTCTTCATCATGAATATATATATATTTGGATCATTGGCATAAAACCCAGGAGCAAAGAAAAAGATTTTCAAAGAATAATGCATTTTCACTATATAATCAATAGAGCCCCGCCCCAATACCAAAACCCCTGACCTTGGGGCCATAAAATTCACAATTTTGGAAGAGGCACTCTTGGTCATCATAACTATGTGTTTAGTTAGCTTATTCAATACCCAGAAGCAGAGAAGAAGATTTTCAAAGAATAAATGCATTTTCACTATATAATCAATAGAGCCCCGCCCTAACACCAGAACCCCTGACCCTGGGGCCATAAAATTCACAATTTTGAAAGAAGTACTCTTTCTCATCATAACTATGTACTTAGTTTATTTAATACCCAGAAGCAGAGAAGAAGGTTTTCTTTAAAGAATAAATGCATTTTCACTATACTAGTAGTATAATCAATATAGCCCCGCCCTAACACCAGAACCCCTGACCCTGGGGCCATAAAATTCACAATTTTGGAAGAAGCACTCTTGATTATCATAACTATGTTCTTAGTTATTTTATTTAATACCCAGAAGCAGAGAAGAAGATTTTCAAAGAATAAATGCATTTTCACTAAATAATCAGTAGAGCCCCGCCCTAACACAAGAACCCCTGACCCTGGGGCCATAAAATTCACAATTTTGGAAGAAGCATTCTTTCTCATCATAACTATGTTTTTAGTAAGTTTATTTAATACCCAGGAGCAGAGAAGAAGATTTTCAAAAATTAATGCATTTTCACAATATGATCAATAGAGCCCCACCCTAACACAAGAACCTCTGACCATAGGGCCATAAAATTCACAATTTTGGAAGTAGCACTCTTGCTCATCATAACTATGTACTTAATTATTTTATTTAATACCCAGAAGCAGAGAGGAAGATTTTCAAAGAAATAATGCATTTTCACTATATAATCTATATAGCCCCACCCTAGCACAAGAACCCCTGACCCTGGGGTCATGAATTTCACAATTTAAGTAGAGGACTCCATGTTTATTACATTCATGCCAACAGTTTGCCGGCTTGATGTCCAGGAGTAAAGAAGATTTTTAAAGATTGCAGTAATTTTGGTGGTTTTGGCCCCACCCCTCAAGCCCCGGGGGGGGGGACCATAAAATTCACAATTTTGTTTCCCTTCACCCATAGATGCTGTGTATCAAATTTTGTTGAAATTTGTTCAATGGTTTCAGAGAAGAAGCTGAAAATCTTCAAATGTTAACACACGACGCACGACGGACGACGGACGAAAACGGATAGCAATAGGTCACCTTAGTTACTCAGGTGACCTAAAAACCATGCAACAAATATAACTATAGACAATAACATCTATCTACATCTTACAAGACATTAAAAATTGTTGTGGAGCTTACTATCTACAAAATTTATACATATGAAATGTTCAGTGTTTCTACAAAGAAATGTATTACAGGGGAAATTACATTTTGATTTTAACACTTAATTTAATAGCATGGTATATTTGAAAAAAAAAAAACCAATAAATTCTGAAATAATGATTATAATGCGTCTAATATTGGTTCCCAAATTTCATTAAAATTATCCCAATTACAATCTGAGCAATATTTACATAAATAATTTAACTAAAACTTGATATCGGCTAATCCGAATTTTCTCTATTTTCCTTATATTATAAGGATATATTTGTTTTTTATGCTTCCTATATTAAAACTTTTCTTATTTTCACATGTTACAGTAGTAAAGTAGCCTTATAAAGATACAAAAACAAAGTTTTTATCGTTTATTTAGAGAGATAGAATACTTCTTTTTAATTGATTTTGACTCGAGATCGTACCAAGATTGGAGTCTTTAAAAGTTAAAACATAACTGTAGTTTGAATGGAAAATCATATACATTTTATAAATTTAAGATATAAATATAGAGACAGAAAACACTCCGTGAGAATTCCACATACTCCCTAGAATTAGCCTAGGTCTAGGTTCCCCGTTTGAGCATAGGCGTCCCGGGGGGGGGGCCAAAAAATGTCCCTTATTATCAATTTTACAAATTTTGAAAAATTCTTCAAGTCTTTAACTGTGTAAAAATTATTAGTAAGTTCATTGTTCAATAGTAATTTTGCGAAACAGAAAAGAACATATTTTCATACGCTGCAATTCTGCCAAAAATAAAGTCCTTGCTTTATCTCAAACCCAGTTTACCATTTCCACGGCTTAATGTATTAGACGTATTATAAGCAATATACTTTGAATATTTCATCTAGTCCGAAATCAGATAAGAATCCTTCCTTAATTAAAGTCTTACCGAATTATTATCAAGAGCGTCCGTGGTCTGTCTGTTTGATAGAATGCCCTGCTACAGGATTATAAAGCATGTCTCCCACAACATGATATAATACGCGTGCGCTGGATGTCCGTCGATTATACCCTGTTTTTCGTTATCCGTAGAGGCATGACGGGAAGTATACCAGGATCCAGGCTACTGGTCAAGCCCTGGTCATAGTTTGTAAGTGGGTATAAGATTAGCAGAGCTAACACTATTTCTTAAAATTCATGACTCTGATTTAACTCTTAAGTCAGAAATAATAAAAGCAACCCCGTGTAAATGCCAGCATTTTTTGCTCTTTTTATTTTCTTATTGTGGCTGTATCCCATAGCAGCATGTATGAATAAAACATTTCAAATTTGGGGTTTTACACAGAAATGCGATTAAATTAAAGTTATGTTTCAAAATAAAATCACAAAATTCATCATGATAGTATGTATAAGGGATGCATGGGTCCATTTTTTCAATTAAGAAATAAAAATCTAGTTTATAAACTTCAATGGGAATTGAAGTGGGTCGGAGAGACGCGATCAAATCCTGTGAAGGCCGAAGGCCTTCTCAGAATATTTGATCACGTACCGACCCACTTCAATTCCCATTGAAGTTTATAAACTTGTTATTTATTACTTGTATATACATTTGAGATGGACAATTAAATATTAAATTAAATATATTCGGATATAAATGTTGCACTTTGGGTTCGCCCGTAGATTTCCGTCAAAGTACGCAGGGTGTAAATCGGCTTGAACGGCGGTTACGCTTCGAATTCGTCATGCTAAGAATTCTATTTCGAAAGGGAATATTTTGTTAAAGGCTACTTGAGATCAGTAATAGTGAATAGATTTTTGTCTGGGAATATATTTATTTGTGAAAAATGATCATAAATGCAGAAAAGACACAGGAAACACGTCCGAGAATTGATGATGAAAAGTTGGAGGAATTTCGGTCGCCTGGATGGATCCGATGGATTGAGACACTAGTCCAAGCCAGTTTATTTGCAATCAAGTATTAATTTTGATCAAAAACGTTTAATCTACGATTTCAGTAACTAAAGGTATATTTATTATGTTAACACGGAGACACTGTATATAGTGGAAAGATACCACAAATGTATATATTAGTGATTTAATTTATTAATGTCACAGGGTGAATAAATTAATATTATAATAAATACTATATAATTTTTGTATTATTGATTTGTGACCTAATATACTAATCATTTCATTTTCATCATAATCATCTTCACCTATTTATCGTTACAGTCCTCTGGAATTTTTTGAAAAAAATATTCATGGGGTTAAATGCCTATTGGTTGGTTTGAGAGAGTGAAAGGTCAAAGGTGTTTGTGTCAGAATGGGTGCGGCTTGAAGGTGTATGATTGGTTGATATTTTAGTGTGAGAAGTGTTGTGTTTTTTTTTTACTAGTTTTGAACCAAATACGCATGCTTGGCGCCAAACACCCCTAATAATTCACTCCACCCTAAGACAGCCAGGAGGAAGGAATAGTATATCTCCTCTCCATACATAAAGTCATTTCATTTAATAATGATGACAAATTAAACCTATTCGGTCACTATGGAACGCCAAGACTGTCTTATATGAGGATTAAACATTATATGCAGTGTTTCCTTTATTATATGCGGTACTATTTTAATTATATGCAAGTTTAATTATAGGAAGTAGGTTTTACATTATATCGTGTACAACTTCCATTATATGCAGTACTTCTCTCATTATATGATGTAGATATGTCATTATATTATGTATATCTATCATTATATAAAGTGCTTTTGATATTATATGCGGTAGTTCTAACAGGGGGTTTCATCCCAGTCCAAAAAAATAAAATCCAACCCAGGAATTTCTTGACAAGCAAAAAAAATAACAACAACAACAACAACAAAAATAAAATAAAACATCGTACAATCGCCCAAACTTTAAATACCTATTACTAAGAAGGGGGGGGGGCAATGACTTCTAGTGTTTAAAACCTCTGACTTTTCATACCAATTTAACACAAATTTGCGGTTACCAGGGGGCGGGGGTCTGCGTTTTCCGAGGGGGGTCCAAGGTTACCTTTTTCTTGCTTTAGTATTTGCAAAGACAAAGGGGGGGATGTAATATTACCCCCTAAATCCACGCATATATATATAATGTTTATAAAAAGGGCACACACAAATAAAAAAATATGTTCATCTTCAACAACAGTTGATACAATATCTTTCATCTCTTGGGTAACATAATCTGCCAACCTCTATCTTTTTTTGTGGATACTTATTTTCAATCGAGTTAAAAAAGAACAAAGATTCTTGGAATTGGAAAAAATTAAGTATGGTTGAATTTCAAGCTTGTTTAGATTTCGTTGACTTATCAACTAGATTTATACCTACATTAATTAAAGGAATTTCGAAGTCATGTCAATACTTCAGTAGTTTACAATGAGAGAGAGAGAGAGAGAGCGAGATGCGCTTATTATTGAAATATTTTTATCATTCCATTGTATTAATTGTTGAATATGACATAAAAAAATGGCTGATATTCACTGTCTTTAACTGTACTATATAAATGATACGTATCAGGAAAGACATACGATTTTCAGAGCAGACATTACACGTGCGCAGTAACACCCTCCCCCTTTTCCTAAACATAACTTTTACTATTGAAAATGCTTAATGTTTTTGAATCAACATTGGTATTGGAAAAGGGAACAAGGGAAAAGTGGGAAAAGATTGACTGCAATAAACAAAATAAACAGAACTTACAATGTTGTACATTGTATATAAATGTGATTAAAATGACGAATGACAATATTCAACTGACTGATATATCGAGAACAAAAATTATAAATACTTTGTCATAAACTAGTAATGCATGATACCGTTGAATAATTTCAGTGAATAGAAATTTATAAATGACATTAACATCAAACCTATGAGAATGCTAATTTACATCATATGCTCAAACTGAAGATTAACCTTATTATTCACTCCAAAAATACAAAAATACAGTACACAAAAAGATATGAAGTTAACACTGTATTCAGACAATCATATAAAAAGTAATTACCGTGATTATTTTCCAACTCGCCCAAAAGGTATAAGAATAAACAGCTCAAAATCAAAACAGCTTTTTGTAAACATCAAAAATCGTGCAAACATGGCGGGTTCACACGTCAGAAACATGAAAATTTCTATTCTGATAAAATTGGAAAATATTAATAAATGAATCCGGATAAATTTGGATAATTACACATAATCAATCTTACACCGGCCCCTAAAATATGGTCCTACCTAGAGCATATTTTACAAATTTTCTAATGAACAATTAACGTCTTTTAAACATTTGAAACAATTTAGTCTCTTTCATCGGACTCTAACACAAGACACAGTTTCGTTATTGGACGCGTAAGAATATTCGACACAGTTTTCACTTTCACAACGCGCACAATATCATGTCTGTCCTTTTCAACCTCAAGTACTCGTCCGAGATTCCAATAATTCCTTGGGCCATTCTCAACGATAAGAACCAGATCACCTTCTTTAACATTGCGTCCCTCCTTCAACCACTTCTGTCTGCCCTGAAGTAGGGGTAGATACTCCTTAATCCATCTTCTCCAGAAGATGTCTGCGAGATATTGAATCTGGCGCCATCTGCGTCGAACGTAGTTGTCCGTCTGTGAAAAGGTTCCAGGTGGGCAAGTTTCTCCAGATCTAAGAAGTAGCAGATGGTTTGGTGTCAAAGCGCTTAGATCACTAGGGTTGTCTGATGAAGGTGTCAAGGGTCTTCCATTGAGAATCGCTTCAACTTCACAGAACAAAGTCGTGAGTCCTTCGTCGTCCAGATGAATAGTCTGTTCATGTAAGACGGAAAATATCACCTTTCTTACAGATCTGATAAGTCGTTCCCAGACACCCCCAAAATGTGAGGCTGATGGTGGGTTAAATGTCCAACCTATCCCTGACTTCAACAAGTGAGAATGAATTTGGTCAACGTTCCATGTCTTGATAGCTTCTCTTAATTCCCTCTCTGCACCCACTAAATTTGTGCCATTGTCTGATCGAATCAATTTAGGTTGTCCCCTCCGTGCGATAAATCTACGAATAGCATGAATACACGAATCAGTATCCAAAGAGAATGACACTTCGAGATGGACTGCTCTCGTATTAAGACAGGTAAATATTACACCATATCTTTTCACCATACTCCTTCCTCTCTTCAATTCAAATGGTCCAAAGTAGTCCATACCGACACGAGTGAATGGAGGATCATCTGTTTCCAATCTTTCAGAGGGTAAATTGGCCATTTTTTGATGCATTGGAGGAGACTGGTATCGTCTGCATATAACGCATTTCGAGATAAGGGATTTCAACACTGATGAGATACCAGGTATCCAAAACTTCTCCCGAATGACTGCTAAAGTAGAATTCTTGCCCATGTGTCCTGCAGATCTGTGGGCATCTATAACAATCATCTTAGCCAGTGTGGAATTTTTTGGAATGATCATCTGATGTTTTGTGGTAAAGGGTGCGTTTAGCTTTTCTAGTCTGCCCCCTACTTTAATGAGTCCTTCGTGTAGAATTGGATCTAGTCTAGAAAGTTGGGACGATTTTTTGACATATCCGTGATTGTCTCCGAGAATTTTTAATTCATCTGCATAATACTGTCTTTGCTCATATGCTATAAGTTCTCTTTCAGCTCTGTCAAGAATATCAGTACTGAGAAAGGGAAGTTCCTTTGCCTTCTTGGACTCCTTCACTCTGGCTTCACTTTCCACTTTCTCAATATGCGTGATGCTCTCCTCTGAAGCTCCAGCGTCCATCATTTTTTCTCTTCTTTCTATTTTCTGCTTGACTAATTTTCTCAGGTTGTCCTTGGCTTTCAAGAACCATCCAACCGTGACTTTAAGTCTTTTCCAATCTGAGAAATGCTGAAGAAGTTTTTCAACACCATTGGAGGAAGACTGTATAAGGGTAGTGTTGGTACATTTTTTCACTTCCACATCGTCAACCCCAATGGAAGTATCAATGTCACAGTTCGAAATCCATGTAGATTCTGGTCCTAGGAGGAATTCAGGTCCACGGAACCACAACTGATGATCCATGAATTTACCGATGACAGATACTCCTCTAGATGCACAGTCAGCAGGATTTTCTTTCGTGTTCACATAATGCCATTGATCAAAGGTTGTATGGGTGTTGATAATGGCAAGTCGATTGGCGACAAAAGTTTGGAATCTAGTCTTGGTGTTAGCAATGTAGCGAAGTACTGTTGTACTGTCTGTCCAGAAATGTATTTTCTCTATAGGAAAGTCTAATTGCTCGTCCACAAGTCTGCTTAACTTGACGGCTAGGGTCGCAGCTGCGAGCTCCATCCTAGGAATTGTCATTGTTTTCAATGGTGCCACTCTTGATTTACCCATGACAAAGGAACAATGTACATTTCCATGCTCATCAGACATACGCAAATATATGACAACTCCCATGCCAAGTGTGCTTGCGTCCGCAAAACAATGTAACTGGTATGAAACAGAATGTCCAATATTCTTTGGTTTGTAACATCTTTCAATTTTTATGTCCTCCAGATGTTTCGCTTGCACGAGCCAGTTGTTCCATTTCTTTAGCATGGTTTCATCAATTTCCTCGTCCCACCTTACACCATCTTGACACAACTGTTGGAGTAGGGATTTAGCTGTCAAAACGAATGGCGCTACAATGCCAAGTGGGTCATAAATGGAACTTGTCACAGAGAGTATACCTCTTCTTGTTGTAGGATGGTCCTTCAACTGTATCTGAAACCCTAAGGAATCATCTTCCACGAACCAATAAACTCCAAGGGCTCGTTCAATCAGAGTTTCTTCATTCAGACTAAATTTTTTGATGTCTTCTGCTCTATCTTCTTCCGGGACGGACTCCAATACCTCCTTACAGTTACTTAACCACTTTGTTAACCGAAATCCTCCTTGTTTACAAAGGGCCATCAGATCTTTGATGAGGTATTTGGCTTTCTCCTCTGTATCAACTGATGTTAGGCAGTCGTCCACGTACATATTTTTCATTACCGTATTCTGTATGCTTTGATCATATTCGCCTCCATGTTCCTCAGCAGTTTTCTTCAAAGCATAATTACAGCAGGTAGGTGATGAGACAGCCCCAAAAATATGTACTTTCATCCTGTACTGTTTAGGTTCAGCACTCAGATTTCCGTCTTTCCACCAGAAAAATCTCATGCAGTCTCTATCCTCTTCTGGTACTGCAACTTGATGGAACATAGATTCAATGTCACTTTGTATCGCGATACGTTCCTGTCGAAATCTTAGAAGCACTCCCAAGAGACTGTTAGTTAAGTCAGGTCCTTGAAGTAGTTGACTATTTAGAGACACACCTCTAAAAACAGCAGAACAGTCAAATACCACTCGTATTTTCCCTGGCTTCTTTGCATGGTACACGCCATGGTGAGGGAGATACCATACACGTCCGTCATCCCTTTGTAGTTGCATCTCAGGAACCGGCTCAACAAAGTCTTTCTCAAATAATTTATTCATGAAAACTGTGTAATCAGTTCTAAATTGTTGATTTTTCAACATCTTCTTCTTCAAACATTCGAGTCTCTGTAGTCCTTGAATCCTATTATTTGGCAAGCTCACAGAATTGTTTCTAAAGGGAAGTCCTATTGAGTAATGACCATTCACTTGTTTGATGGACTTTTCAACTTGGCTCAGAAAGGTTTTGTCCTCTACTGAATGTTCTTTCTTTTCTGCTATCATGCGCTCTGGAAAGTCTGAATTAATTGACGCTTTCACTAATTCTTCCAGCTTATTGTCACATTCACAGTACCGCTCAAGTGTCACTTTGTTCACATCATATGATCCTGATCCGACTTCTCTCAGTACATTCCAAACAATCCACCCTAAGCGTGTCTTTGTAGCGTGAGGAGATCCACTTGGTCCGGTTACCACTTCAAATGGAGCATAAGCGTCTGGGACATTGCTGCCAATAAGAAGGCCAATTTCAGCAGCAACGTTTGGGATTGTTATGTTCGATAAATGATCCCACTTTGAAATTTCCTCCTCTTTTGGAATATGTTCATGAGTGACAGGCATCTTGTCTTTTGTATAGATTTTTGGAAGATCTATGAATTCTGTCATGTTCATATCACAGAGTTGTAGGCCTCTGACAGACTGGGATGCTAACTGATAAGGTTCTCCAATTGTGTTCAAAGTGATGTTACATTTCTTTCCACTAATGCCTAGTTGTCGCATGAGGTTTTCAGAACAGAAAGTAACGCTGCTTCCTGAGTCAAAGAAGGCGTATGTAATGACGCTATGGTTCTTGTTTTTCAACTTAATTCTCACAGGAATTATCGCCATGGCTGATGTTTGCTCTCCGGCCCCAGTATCACAACAAGCACCGACATCAGAACTCGCTTTTTGGGTGACGGGTTGATCAACTTTAGAACTTGATGGAACTGAGTTGTTGTGTTCTTCCCTACTGAGCCTTGGAGAATTCAGTGTTGATCTTGATGGGTCATGGAGAATGGTAGGGTGTTGACGCCCACATGAAACACACTTTAGTCTGTTTCTACACTTCTTGGTTACATGTCCCTTTTTTAGGCATCCATAACAAAGTCCGTTATTTTTCATAAAGTTATATCTCTCTTGGATACCGATTTTTTGAAATCTGTAACAATCCATCAACACGTGGCCGGCGCTACCGCAAAATTCACATTTCAACACTGATGCTCCAGTTGATTCCTTTTCACTACTTAGGCTTCCTGATGCGACTGTTCTTTTCTGGTGCTTATCAGGCTGTGTACGTGCATTTCCACTCAACGATGAAACTCCATATATAGGATCATTAGATTTCTTTGCCTCAGTTTTCACAAAGGTCACAAAGTCACTAAATCCTATTCTTCTCTTAGTCTCTTTAATTTTCAGGACTGCAGTTCTCCATCGATCATGTAGATATATTGGAAGTTTTGACAAAAGCCTCTTGATATTTTCAGCATAGTCCAAGATTGACACACAGTCTATGCTTTCTGACGCGTTTTGACATTCTACCAAGAACAATGCAAATTCGTCCAACATTTTTGCATCTTTGATCACAGGCCAATCAAGAGCTTTCTTGATGAACGATGTCACTATCAGTTCACTGTCTCCGTATCTTTCTTCCAACTGCTTCATTGCGGCTCGGTATCCTTTGTCTCCAGACATGTGTGCGAATCCAGATACGACACGGTTCGCTTCACCTTGCGTCATCTGTTCAAGGTAGTTCATCCTTTCGTCATCGTCTTTGGTGTTCGCCACAACCTTTGCATTGAATTGTCTTATAAACCTCCTGTATTCCAATGGGTCTCCGCTAAACTTTTTTATTTCTGGTAGGGGTCTTCTCAAATATTGGACGACATCATTCATAGGGTTTTGATTGTTTTCAACAATGTGTGGAGACTTTGGTTCAAAGGTTTTAGCATTTGGATCCAAAGGGTAAGATAACTGCGAGCCAAATTCTTGTGGAAATCTGATAGTACGTGGTGAAGGTTTTGGAATTAGCAGCCTAGGACAGTTAACACTTCCTTCATCTTCAATGACATGCCGTTTGACAGACTGTTCATCAGAAATGTTTTCGTATTTTTGTAGAATTTCATTTTTAGCCTGCGACACTGCAATTCCTGTATCAATGTCTAACTCCTCCTCTTCTAACTTTAGCTGTAGCTTAGCCATCTCAAGTTGCTTTTTTCTTTTAAGAACAGATTTACGAGCTTCCAACTCGGCCATCTTTGTTTCTTCTTTGATCCTTTGAGAGGAGATGCTTGATGCATATGAAGAGCATGATTCTCTACGACTTTTCACTTTGCTAATCTTACTTCTGACCTCTTCTATGCGAGAGAAATATTCTTCAACTTCTTTCTTAAAGTTCATCAGGTAGATGTCATAGTCATAGTGATCTGCAAAAACCTTCTTCTGTTCTGCTTTATCATCTATCTGGTTTGCAAATTCATCAAATAAATTCAAGAAGTGTTCGTATGTCTGTAACCATTTACTGTATCTTTTTCTCACATCTTCTGTGTCAATTTTGTTTTCTAGCATCAGAGTTTTTATTTGTGTCACTAATGTTTTCAACTTCCTGAACGTACCATAATACTGTTCTTGTTTGTATGATTTACCACTTTCTGTAAGCTTCCTGTTTCTTTCAGGTCGTGATTCTCCAACATCAGATTCTGCAGCTTCCACTTGTGGTTGTTGACCATCTTCTTCTTTAGCTGCCATGTCAGAATTCTTCTAATCACGTCAATGATGTAATGAAATGAGACTGTTTTTCTTTCAATTCTCAAAAATAAACGTCACATTCGTTTCCCATCATTTATTTCCATCAACATTGGTATTGGAAAAGGGAACAAGGGAAAAGTGGGAAAAGATTGACTGCAATAAACAAAATAAACAGAACTTACAATGTTGTACATTGTATATAAATGTGACTGAAATGACGAATGACAATATTCAACTGACTGATATACTGAGTACAAAAATTACAAATACTTTGTCATAAACTAGTAATCCATGATAGTATTAAATGGTATAAGTGAATAAAACTTTATAAATGACGTTAACTTATAACCTGCGAGAATGCTCATTTACATCATATGCTCAAACTGAAGATTAACCTTATTATTTACTCCAAAAATACAAAAATACAGTATATAGAAAGATATGAAGTTAACACTGCATTCAGACAATCATAAAAAAGGTAAATACCGTGATTATTTTCCAACTCGCCCAAAAGGTATAAGAATAAACAGCTCAAAATCAAAACAGTTTTTCGGTAAACATCAAAAATCGTGCAAACATCGCGGGTTCACACGTCAGAATCCTGAAATTTTCTATTCTGATAAAATTGGAAAATATTAATAAATGAATCCGGATAAATTTGGATAAACGAATTACTGAGAGAAAAATTTTGTAGGTTCAAAAGTGCGCTCTGACACATATAAGAAAAAATGAAAACAAAAGCAACAAGCTAATTCAGAGAATTTGTTTCCCCCGCTTAGGGAAAAAGTAAACCATGAGCAGTTCGGGGGTCGGGGGGTCGGATCCCCTTGACTGAATTTGTAGAATTATTAAATGTATGCATGTATACTGAAGCAAATAAATATGCCAATATGGATATAAAGATTTGATTGTTTATTCTTTATTATGTGTATAGAAGATCCTTTTTATATGGAATATTTATCACACTGTAATGATGATTTTATGAGTTTGTATAAGCCAGACCTCATAATTTTTTTTTAATTTCACAAGCTGAATATAATATGAATACTATCATTTAGTAAAAAAAATGTATTTCGAAAAAAAAAAATTATTGAATCGTTCGGCATGCGAACCCGGGCCCTATCACATGTGAAGCGAGAGACATACCGCTAGACCACCTCGGAACTGCTTTACATTGGAACAAATTATATGCAAAGATGAAGTCACATACATGTATATATTCACGTCCGATATTGTGAAAATTTTACACAATGCATGGTGTCTAATTTAACCTTTATTAAACAGTTCTAATAGATGTAATAAGAATATAAAATCCACCGAAAACCTGTTTTATATGTAATAACTCTCCTCATGCCCAGTGCTAAAAATAGCGACATGTAATACAATAAATACTAATAAAACAAACGGGACGGGACACTTTGAGAGGGGTAAGAAAGGTCTTAGAGAGTTTTGGTATAAAATTACATTGCAGAAGCGCAAAATCTTCTTGCAATATCGCCCGGAAAGGAAAGTGTTTCATACAGAGAGAATGTCTAAATTTACGACCTTGAACTTTGACCTTTTGACCTCAAAATCAATAGGGGTCTTCCTTAGGCCATAGGGAATTGTTATGTAAAATTTCATTGCAAAAGCTCAAAGGATTCTCGAGATATCGCGCGGAAAGGAAAGTGTTATAACAAATAGAATTTGCGAATTTATGATCTTGAACTTTGATCTTTTGACCTCAAGATCAAATTGTTCTTCTCTAGCCCATAGGGAGTTGGTATGCAAAATTTCATTGCGAAAGCTCAAAGGGTTCTCGAGATATCGTGTGGAAACGAAAGCGTTACAGACAGACAGAAAGACGGACGGACAAACCCAAAGTAATATCCCCCATTTTCAAGCGGGGGACAATATGCACTTCTGTACATTGTGTCCTAACTGCCTACAAAGTTTCATGAAAGTCTATGCAGCTGCTTAAGGGTCCTCCACACACACACAACCTATGTTCTATTATTACTGAGCATTACTTTTAACAATCAAATCAACCTTTAAAAACTGGCCAGGAATGAAAATATAATTTATACTGATTTTTTAAAATAACAATATTTCACAAGTTTCAAAATATTTTTTCCGAGGCGTTTTCATACGTAGCACAATATACAATTATTGACTGAGTTCGAGGGCAACATGCGTTTTGTCGGACCCAAGAACCAAACTGCCCGAGAACACAGTCAATAAATGTTTTGTTATACCTTTCAATTTGATTTTTTTTTTACATAAATGTATTACTACTGAACACCAACAAATGGAAATGAGATTAAGCTCCGCCCATTCTGTGACATAAGCGGTCCAACATCTCACTCAGAGGTCCAACATCGATCATTATTTTTATGCCCGCTCAGCAAAAAATTAGAAATGTTAGACTTTTTCCGTATAGATTTGTATACCATAACAAAAAATATTATAGTTAACTATAGTCTACTATAGTTAACTATAGTTAATTATAGTTATAACTCTGACACTTTGAAAACTTTGATTTGCTATAGTGATAACTTTGACACTTTGAAAAACATTATCGAAAACTTTGACACTTTGAAAAATTTTGGCGAAAACATTGACACTTTAAAAAACTTTGGTGAAAACTTTGACACTTTGAACAAGAGGCCCAGAGGCCACAGCGCTCACCTTAGCACATCGGCTAGGAAAAAGCACATATCAGATCAGAACTAAAAGTTTACTGAGGTTGGGGAGGGGCTTTGAATTTTAACCCCCAATGGTCATGATTTGAACATGCTAGAATCTACACTACCTGAGGACGATAAATATTACTAATCATGGCTTTGAAGTTCTTGAGCCCTATATATTCCTATGTAAAACTTTGGTCGGCCATTTTGGCCCCACCCTACCCCCAGGGGTCATGATTTGAACAAACTTGAATCTACACTACCTGAAGATGATTCCACATGAGTTTCATCTTTCCTGGTCCAGTGGTTCTTGAGAAGAAGATTTTTAAAGAGTTTTCCTATATATTCCTATGTAAAAATTTAACGGCCACTATGGCCCCACACTAGCCCCAGGGGTCATGATTTGAAGAAATTTGAATGTACACTACCTGAGGATGATTCCACATTAGTTTCATCTTTCCTGTTCCTATGGATCTTGAGAAGAAGATTTTTGAAGATTTTTAAATATATTCCTACGTAAAATTTTGATCGGCCATTTTGGCCCCACCCTACCCCCAGGGGTCATGATTTGAACATACTTGAATCTACACTACCTGAGGATGATTCCACATGAGTTTCATTTTTCCTGGGCCAGTGGTTCTTTAGAAGAATATTTTTTAAAAATGCCACTAATTTTTCTCTATATATTATCCCCCTTATGCCCCTTCATTTGAATAAACTTGAATTTCCTTTACCCAAGAATACTTTGTAGCACGTTTGGTTGAAATTGGCTTAGTGGCTCTTTAGAAGAAGATTTTTGAAGATTTTTCCTATATATTCCTATGTAAATTTTGATCGGCCATTTTGGCCCCACCCTACCCCCAGGGGTCATGATTTGAACATATTTGAATCTACACTACCTGAGGATGATTCCACATGAGTTTCATTTTTCCTGGGCCAGTGGTTCTTGAGAAGAAGATTTTTTAAAAATGCCACTAATTTTTCTCTAATTCATAATTATCTCCCCTTAGAAAAAGGCGTGCCCCTTCATTTGAATAAACTTGAATTTCCTTTACCCAAGAATACTTTGTAGCACGTTTGGTTGAAATTGGCTTAGTGGCTCTTGAGAAAAAGATGAAAATGTGAAAAGTTTACAACAACGACGACGACAACAACGACTACGACGACAGACAACGGACAAATTTTAATCAGAAAAGCTAACTTGAGCCTTTGGCTCAGGTGAGCTAAAAACTTGGGCGAAAACTTTGACACTTTGAAAAACTTTGGCGAAAACTTTGACACTTTGAAAAACTTCGATACTTTGAAAAACTTTGGCGAAAACTTTGATACTTTGAAAATTTTGGCGAAAACTTTGACACTTTGATTTACTATAGTTAACTATGGCACGCCAAATTCACAAAAATGAGCTAATCATAGTTTCACAATCGATAAACAAGGTTTATCGGTTGTAAACTATAGTTACCGGACTGTAAACTATAGTTAACAACGTTAATCTATATTTTACATCTGTAAACCATAGTTAACACAATAATCTATGTTTCACAACCGTAAACTATACTTAACACCGAAAACTATCATTTGAGATTGCAAAACATAGATTATCTGATTAATACAGTTTCACAATTTGTAAACTATGGTTTACAACTCTTAACTATAGTTAACTATCGTAAAGTATAGTTTACAGACGTGAATCTATGTTTATCAACAAAATCTATCGTTAATGCTTTATTACAGACAGATAAACTTAGATAAGCATTCGTAAACTATGGTTAACAACCATTTAACAGAGTTTTACAGATGAAAAGTGTAGTTAACGAATTGTAAACTATAGTTCACAGTTTAGTTTACAGTCGATAAACCTAGTTTATCAATTGTGAAACTATGTTTAGCACGCCAAATTCACAAAAAGGCCCATGGGCCTTACAGGTCACCTGAGCATTATGTAACAACTTTCCAGTGATTTAATTTGATTCATGTTTTAAGCCAGATGCTATGGCATTCACAATTTTGAAAGAGGCACCATTGATCATCATAACTATACACTTAGCAGTTGCTTAGTTTGGTTACTTAATACACATAGGCAGGGTAGGGGAATAAAAAATACATTTCAACTAATCAGTAATATTCAGCTATAATCAGTAGTGCCCCTACCACACATGAAACCCTAACCCTTAGGCCTGGATCCACACATAGCACAATTTTTGAAAAGGCATCCTTGCTTTTCAAAAATATTTGATTAATACCAAGGAACAGATTTCAAATCATTCATTTTTAGTATAAATAAATACTAGTAAGTTAGAATTAATGCATTTTCACTACATAATCAATAGAGCCCCACCCAACTCCAGAACCCCTGACCATGGGGCAATAAAATTTAAAATTTTGATAGAGGTACTCTTGCTCATCATAACAATGCTTTTAGTTAGTTTATTTAATACCTAGGAGCAGAGAGGAAGATTTTCAAAGAATTCATGTATTTTCACTATATAATCAATAGAGCCCCGCCCTAACACCAGAACCCCTGACCCTGGGGCCATAAAATTCATAATTTTGGTAGAGGCACTCTTGCTCATCATAACTATGTACTTAGTTGGTTTATTTAATACCCAGGAGCAGAGAAGAAGATTTTCAAAGCAATGATGCATTTTCACTATATACTTATTTAGCCCCGCCCTAACACTAGAACCCCTGACCCCAGAGCCATGAATTTCACAATTTTGGTAGAAGACTCAATGCTGATTACTATCATGCAAACAGTTTGACGGCTTGATGTCCAGGAGTAAAGAAGAAGATTTTTAAAGATTGCATTAATTTTAGTGGTTTTGGCCCTACCCCTAAGGCCCCAGGGGGGCGGGGACCATAAATGAGCTAATCATAGTTTCACAATCGATAAACAAGGTTTATCGGTTGTAAACTATAGTTTACGGACTGTTAACTATACTTATCAACTTTAATCTATATTTTACACCTGTAAATCATAGTTAACGCGATAATCTATGTTTCACAACCGTAAACTATACTTAACAATGAACACAATCATTTGCGATCGCAAAACATAGATTATCTGATAAATACAGATTTACGATTTGTAAACTATGACTTTTAACTATAGTTAACGTTCGTAAATTATACTTAACAGACGTGAATCTATGTTTATCAACAAAATCTATTGTTAACGTTTTATTACAGACATATAAATTAGATTAGCATTCGTAAACTATGGTTATGGTTAACAACCGTTAAATATAGTTTTACAGATGAAAACTATAGTTAACGAATTGTTAACTATAGTTTACGATTTGTAAACTATAGTTTACAGTCGATAAACCTAGTTTATCAACTGTGAAACCATGTTTAGCTCATTTTTGTGAATTTGGCGTGCAATAGTTAACTATAGTTAACTTTAGTTTTTTTGTTAGGGTAGGAATAAATTTTGTCTTACCCTATTGTATATTTTTTAAGCTCACAGAATATAAAACATAAAAACTTTATTTTATCGATCTTATGCGTGAAAAGAAGAAAAGGGATTGACCAATGCTGGAAAGTGGAAAAATTCTCGACAAAAGTGTGCAGAAATCTTGCGCTGTAGATTGCACATTATTTGCATTACGGGATCTGTAGCGTTATCGGTCAACGACTAATATATGAAACAATAACGCTTTAAGGTCTGCAGCTAAGTAGTGAGTATCTCGTACGTACCACTTATTATCTCGTACATACGCCTTAGTATCTTGTACGTACGAATTAGTACATGTATGTCGTACGTACGATGTATTATCTCGTATGTACAACTTTGTATCTAGTACGTACGAGATAATATGTCATACGTACGACTTAGTATTTCGTGCAAACGACTTATTATATTGTACGTACGACTAAGTATCTTGTACATACGACTTAGAATATTTTTTAAGTGGTAGCAATATGCTTTCATATATATTGACTCTGTTCTCGGGAATCTTGTCAACCGGCGAACCAAACTTTCTGATAAACAGTTTGGTTCTTGGGTCCGACAAATCTTATGTTGCTCTCGAACTCAGTCAATAAATGTATAGTATTGTTTATCGAACAATTGGAGACTTGCCAGAAGTTGACTGTTTCGTATTGGAGTCTTGAAAAAGGTGACCTATTGCCAGGCGTGGATCCAGGAATTGAAGTTAGAGGGGGCGCCAAAAGTAGGCAAGGGGTCTGGGGCCGCCTTGAGGCCCCCAGTGGGTCCAGGGCAAAGTCCTGGAGGGGGCCCAGGGGGCAAAGCCCCCGGAAGCTCCTGGATTCTAGAGATTTTGTAGGGTAAAAACGAGGTCTACCAAGTATACATATTTACATTTTCTAGACGAAACTGTGATTTACGTTAATTTTGACAATTTTAGGGGGGCGTCGGGTGCGACCCCCCTTAAATCCGCCACTGATTGCATATAGCTAGTAGAGGTGGGCTGCCTCGTATTGGAGACTTTCTGTTGTACGCCGGGCCCGTGACCTATCTGTACGAGCATTTTTGACATAATTGAGGGAACAGTCAATGTCAACAACAGTTAAGAAAACAGCATATTTTCTGTAAACAAGCATGGGTTCATACTTTAATTCTTAGTTTCAAATACCCGAAACTGAACCCAGTTTAAATGAATAGAATTTCTAAAAAATCATTTTAAAATCCACGTGAAACTGCATTAGAAAGTCTAACCGATAACTGGTTTAACTCTTTTCAACCTACGCAACATACACTTCATGTCCACGTCATAGAAGTATGACTTTACCATTTCCCCGCAAGAACTTTATAGTGTGGAACAGGTATCTCTAAATTTAGCGTAAATAACATTATTATTATCCTTATGATGTAATATTTCAATATTTCAATCAGAAAATATATTTTTTTTATGAAATTCAAGCAACTTGCCAAGTATGAACTAAAAGAAATTTGGCAATAAATAAAATTGAATAAATTGAAGATATAAATGTTCTTTTTAAAGTGCGTGAGAATGCGTGATTGCGGGGAAACGGCCTATGCCGATTTCGCGTTAAAAATGGGAAATGGTATACGTTACGGGTATGCGTTAAAATGCGTGACAGCGGGGAAAGAGGTTTAAAAATAAGGAGGATAGTGAACTTATAGTATTTTTGTTTATTGACCTGCGTAAGACTTTTGTTACAGTCAATTATTATAAAGTTCTTTTACACAAGCTGATGACGTTTGGAATAGGTACATGTAAAGAAACGCAGTGTATGCTTTTTGGCACGTCTAAAAAGGTTGCAAAAATATAGAAATTTTATCATAAAGTTTAGTGGTGTGCAAATTGAATTCGTGAAACAGGGCAGATTACTTGGTGTTCATATTGAAAATCCCCTATTTTGGGATTCTCATGTTGATTTTATTCCAAAGATAATTTTAAGGTTTTGCCAATGGTAAACATGTCCCAAATATTATTTTTACAATAGCTCCAAAACTATGTGGTTTATAAAGTTAAAACTTTTACAGTTTATAAATATATATATACATGTATATTGATATTTTTAAATCTGTGAATCTCGCTGAGTATTTTAACAGACTCAATACTTAAACTGGATTTTTTTCCCAATCCTTTAGTGTACCAATATATACTCACCGTCAATAGAAACGCAACACCCTAATTTTAGGGGTGAAAATTATATACGGGATATAACTATGTACCATAAAAGTTAGGACATCTTTTACTTTGCCAAATCAGTTATTTAACGGTTGAATGATTTTCATTCCATTACCGGAAGTTGATTTTTAGCCCCCTTCAAAAATTAGCATTTTTGATAAAATTATTGACAATATTTTGGGTTTTTAAGGTTTTGTACCTGTTAATTATAAGTCTTGTACAAAAGTCCGGAAAAAAATATCCTTCTTGTTTTATGTTTTAGAGTTATGTGTTACTTTATAAGGTTTAAAGATAAGATTAAGAATGAATACATAAATGTAAAAAGTAGATTTACAAAACAATCATACTTCATTTAAACTTTAAATGTTATCATTAGACCTTAGAAAGTAACACATGACTAAAACATGACCATTCAATTAAAACGTGCTAATGTACAACATAAGCAGCCCGAATTCTACCATGCATTAAGTTTATCAATGTCTTAATCTGAGCGAAATAAATATTCTTGTCCTTTTTTAAATACCTGTTTTTCAGATACTGATATACTTCCGGTCAAGGAACTGTCATTCGTGCTTTTGAAACACATGAGCCCGAAAAGTCGTTATATAGTGTATATTTGCATCTGTAGCTCTCCCTTTTCTTTAAAAATTTCCAACATAAGCAATGAAAATGCGTGCTTTCAGTTACTTTGAGGAAATACAGGCATCACACCCGGAAGAGAAAGAAGGATATTTTTTCCGGACTTTTAGTACAAGACTTAAAATTAACAGGTACAAAACCTTGAACACCCAAAATATTGTCAATAATTTTATCAAAAATGCTAATTTTTGATTTCTGTTCAGGAGGCTAAAAATCAACTTCCGGTAATGGAATGAAAATCATTCAACCGTTAAATAACTGATTTGGCAAAGTAAAAGATGCCCTAACTTTTATGGTACATAGTTATATCCCGTATATAATTTTCATCCCTAAAATTAGGGTGTTGCGTTTCTATTGACGGTGAGTATATTAATGCTGAATACCTATGCTCACAATTCTGTTATTCAAAAAAAGGCACAAACGATTCACAGGAACTAGTTGTTTTATTGATGAGACAAAACAAAATAAATACATGCTCTCAGCAAAATATGTATCAATTATCTCAAACCTGTCTTTCATATAGCAAAAAAAAAAAAGTAAATGAAAAATCGCGTGAAATGTCGACGGCACACGGCGCCGATGAGAGGTCTTCATTCAGCTCAACCACTGATGATTGCAGGCTCTCCCTTGCTGCCTTTAGGTCCTTGTTCTCCTTTCTGGCCCTTGGGACCTGCGTCTCCCTTAGCTCCTGCAGGGCCTGCATCCCCAGCCGGTCCTACTGGCCCCGGCCCTCCCACGGGTCCCACATCTCCTTTATCGCCCTGGTCGCCAGTGTGTGTGTCACCTGGTGATCCTAAAGTACCCGATGAACCTTTGTCGCCCGGCGAGCCTTTAATTCCTTTATCACCTTTGTCTCCGGTGGAACCTGTACTACCAGTAGGACCTAAGACACCTCTGAAACTTGGCCCTGGGGATCCCTGGGTTCCTTTGCTACCCTTATCTCCCTGTGGTCCTTGAGCACCCACATCCCCGGTGGCCCCCTGGGCGCCGTTTCCTCCTGCAGGCCCTGTTGGACCTTGGTCTCCCTTCTCAGCTGTCAATTATAAAAGAATAATTTGCGAAAGGATTGTTGAAATATTTTTTGAAACAAAGTTAATGATTAGATTTGAATTGAATCTTTCAAAATGACACAACATGATTATTGAAAATAAATTTAAGGTCTTTGCAGCTTAAACAGATTTTATATTAAATTAGATGGAAAAGTTTAAATTCATTCACCTTCAAAACACAAAAACATTCAAAGAAAAATATCAAGTTTAGACATAAAAATGCTTAAAGCTTTCAATTAAAATTCGAAAAATACAACTAAAACTCATAAACGACTACGAAACATTTAGGGGATAGCGCGAATGGAACAGCCACCCCCCCCCCCCCAATGAAATAAAATAAGAATCAAACAGGTAAGCAAGGTCAATATCACGTGATAAGAAAATGACGTTTATTTTACAGCTTTAAGAAGTAAGCACACACACGTATATGATAACCAAATATACAGTTAATTCACGAAATAAGAAATTTTTCTTTAATGTTATTAATACTAATTTCAAGAAAATTTAAGAATTTCGAGAAATACCCGATAACAAAAAAGAAAGAAGAAGAGGCGTTTTGGGATTTTAAAAAATCCAAAAATTCCATGCAAGAATTGGAGAAAATTAGGACTCTCTATCTCTCTCTCTAACCCTGTTGCATCTTATTTAAGAAATAAATAACAAGTTTATAAACTTCAATGGGAATTGAAGTGGGTCGGTCACGTGATCAAATCCTGTGAAGGCCGAAGGCCTTCTCAGAAGATTTGATCACGTACCGACCCACTTCAATTCCCATTGAAGTTTATAAACTTAGGACGCAAGGTGTAAATCGGCTTGAATGGCTGTAACGCTTCGAATTCACTGACGTTAGGCTAAGGATTTTATTTCTAAGGGACCATTTTGTGAAAGGCTACTTGTGATCAGTAATAGTGAACATATTGTTGTCTGGGAATATTTCTATTTGTGAAAATTGATAATCAATGCTGAAAAGACACAAGAAACACGTCCGAAGATCGATGATAAAAATTTGGAGGAATTTCGGTCGTCAGAAAGGGATGGATGATCCAATAGATGGAAACACTTGACCGTGCCAGTTTATTTGCAACCAAGTATTTCAGATCAAAAACTTTTAACCTACAATTTCAATAACTATAGGCATATTCATGATGTAAACAACGGAGACACCAATCGCAACTTCTCGGGCCTTTCCGACTAGCGGAAAAACGACCTCGAATGTACTAGGAAGACGCCATGACAACTCCCCCTTTTGACGATCTTTGAAATAAATGCATGGAGACCTATCATCTGTGGAATATGGAGTTAAACTTTATTCAATTTAATGATGTTACCTAAAATATACTATAGAGGGAACTTCTATCTCCGTCTATCCTACATTTGAATAAACAGGAATTGTATAAATTTTTAACATCCGGTGATGTTAATACATTCGAGGTTGTTTTTCCGACCTCTTACGGAAAGACCCGAGATGATGCGATTGACGGAGACACTAGCGAAAGCTTACACTGAAGTATGACAGCGCCGAGGTGTTTATCAGCTGTTCGTGGCGTGATTGCAATGCTTTGATATTTTCCAACAGATTTACACATTTATTGTGAGCAGAATTTGATGAAAAAGTTATAGTTTATCGTGAATATTTAACTAAAAGTCTACCCCAAAAATAAGGATAAATGTTAGAGACTGTACAGCTGAAAAAAGTGACACAAAACTTGTTAACAAAAGCTAGTTTCTATCGGTATATTCTCCATGTACACAGGTTAAATCGATAGCCAAAAAACTGTATGAAATACTTGTTAATGTTGTAAATAAAATTATAATTCTACTTGCATATTTTGTTCATTTTCATACATGAAAAGCACATAGAGCAAGTCATTTTACATTTCTGCTCCGGTAAATATTATTGCGCCGTGTGATTAGGTCGCGTATTGACCTCTGACCTCGGAAAAACTTCATATAGAATTGAAGGTATTTGCTCTCCGTATGTTTATATAGTTCAATTCAATTCAATTCAATTTTTTATTGGCACTAAAGCACATATTTATATACAGGAATGTGTTGTTAGCCATATACATGTATTGCAAAATATTATACTATTGTAAGCTTGTTTCTAATATCAAAACAGTCTCTGATATATAGACAGATTTGTTTCGTAGATACAAAGTTATGTGGATTAAGCAAACAAGATAAGTTATTAACATCTAGTAACCTTGAATACTTTTTCCTGACATTTTTATACACAGGACAATCAAGTAAAAAGTCTTTTTCATCTTCAACAAGAGGCCCATGGGCCTTATATGTCACCTGAGCATTATGCAACAACTTTCCAGTGATTTAATTTGATTCATGTTTTAAGCCAGATGCTATGGCGTTCACAATTTTGAAAGAGGCACCATTGATCATCATAACAATACACTTAGCAGTTGCTTAGTTTGTTTACTTAATACCCATAGGCAGGGTGGGGGAACAAAAAATGCATTTCAAGTAATCAGTAATATTCAGCAATAATCAGTAATGCCCCTATCACACATGAACCCCTGACTCTTAGGTCTAGATCAACACATTGCACAATTTTTGAAAACGCACCCTTGCTTTTCAAAATATTTGATTAATACCAAGGAGCAGATCTCAAACAATTCATCCAGTTTCAGTATATAAGTACACCCCCCCCTATGGTACCCCTGACCCTGGGGCCTTGAAATTCACAATTCTGGAAGATTAGGGTCCTTGCTCATCACAACTACATGTAGTTTATCTGCTTAATACCCAAGAGCAGAGAAGAAAATTTTCAAAGATTTAATGTATTTTCACTATATAATCAATAGAGCCCCGCCCTATCACTAGAACCTCTGACCCTAGGGCCATAAAATTCACAATTTTGGAAGAGGTATTCTTGCTCATCATAACTATGTACTTAGTTTATTTAATTCCTAGGAGCAGAAAAGAATTTTTTTCAAAGAATTCGTGTATTTTCATTATATAATCAATAGAGCCCCACCCTAACACCCGAACCCTGACCCTGGGGCCATAAAATTCACGCTTTTGGTAGAGGCACTCTTGCACATCATAACTATGCACTTAGTTAGTTTATTTAATACCCAGGAGCAGAGAAGAAGATTTTCAAAGAATTCGTGTATTTTCACTATATACTAGTAATCAATAGAGCCCTGCCCTAACACCAGAACCCCTGACCCTAGGGCCATAAAATTCACACTTTTGGTAGAGGCACTCTTGCTCATCATAACTATGCACTTAATTAGTTTATTTAATACCCAGGAGCAGAGAAGAAAATTTTCAAAGAATTCATGAATTTTCACTATATAATCTTTAGAGCCCCGCCCTAACACCAGAACCCCTGACCCTGGGGCCATAAAATTCACAAGTTTGGTAGAGGCACTCTTGCTCATCATAACTATGCACTTAGTTAATTTATTTAATACCCAGGAGCAGAGAAGAAGATTTTCAAAGAAATAATGCATTTTCACTATATACTTATTTAGCCCCGCCCTAGCATGACCCCAGGACCATGAATTTCACAATTTTGGTAGAGGACTCAATGCTGATTACAATCATGCAAACAGTTTGACTGCTTGGTGTCCAGGAGTAAAGAAGAAGATTTTTAAAGATTGCATTAATTTTAGTGGTTTTTGCCCCACCCCCAGGCCCCAGGGGGTCAGGGACCATGAAATTCACAATTTTTGTTCCCCTTCACCCATAGATGCTTTGTGCCAAATTTGGTTGAATTGGTTCCGTGGTTGCAGAGAAGAAGCTGAAAATGTTCAAATGTTAACGGACGACGCACGACGACGGACGAAAACGGATAGCAATAGGTCACCTGAATTGACTCAGGTGACCTAACAAGAGTTTTACATTGGAAACAAAATCTATTTTCTCTAGGAATGACAGGATTACAATATCTACCTGTTTCTACGTACAACTTATGTGCACTTATTCTTTACTTGGAAAGATAATAGAGAGATACCACAAATGTATATATTTTACATTAACGAAACAAAAGCTATCACACCTCGCCTTAACCCATGGATCTGTTACAGTTCATACCGTTAGCCGAAGCCTTTGCAAATAAATTTCTTTGACTGATATACATTTAACATGGAATTATGTAAAACGTCATTTCAGTCGAGAATTGAAGATTCAATAAAAGTGATATAATTCAATAAAAGTGATATAATGTTGCTTTTAAGCAATTCTCTTTACCAGACGGCGGGGTACATGTACAGGTAGCGTGGGCACTCCTTAGCGTATTGACGGCAGTCTTTACCCCCGAGATCTCATTGTAAAGGTAGTTGTAATAAGCAACCCATTGATAAACTAAGCCACTTGCTGGGTATATCAAGGTCACAAGCAGTACTGTGGGTACAATTAATCGCATCTTGCAATCAGCGAGTGTGCTGGAGTAAAGAAAAGGAAAATTAAAATTCACACTACTGCAAAACGAGATAAAAAAAACCCCACACATGTGAAAAGGACTCTTGATTTTTTTTCTCTAGACATTTTATTACTCTTTTGAAAACATTATGAAATATGGTTGATATAAGCCATGACACTGTAATATACTGACTTTTGTCTAAATTATATTAAGTACTTATAGTGCACAAAACACTTACATACATGTACGAGAATCCGTGGACTTGACAATGAAGTAAATCACTGACGGATGAAAAATAATTCTCCGCATTAATAACTTGAGGGATGGTAAGAGGGACGTAATCGTCGTGTGTAGAAATCCGCCTTCACCACCCTCCCGGAATTCTGCAATATAACAACAGCCGGGACCCGTATCTCTGCCATGACAACATTCGGATATAAGGACGTTCTTTGTATTCTCGTTCAACCAGACGCTCGGCTGTCTCCGTAAACTCCGTCCAGCAGAGAGTCTGGTAAAGAACGTTTGTAGCGTTTTTTGTAGCTCATTTTTTTACGCTGGTAAAGTGAAAAAATAATAGCATTAAAATGTTTTTAAGTTTTCTGATATTCGATCTCACAATTTCAAATGAACGTAAAACAAACAAAATGTAAAATATTCAGATAAACTTACTTCTATATAGAATTTTCTTGAAAAGAAATAAAAAAAATATGGAATAAAAAAATTGATGTTTAAGTTATAAAGATAGATACATTTGATAGAAAAATTAAGCCCAAAAATTCTGTAAAATTAATTATTGTGTCCGAAAAGAACCATTCATACTCTATTCTACCCAGAAGAGGAAGAAAAAAAATAACAATCTAGTGTCTTTTGATTTTAAGACAGAATATAAAGAGTGCTTGTTTGTTTGTTGGCACCAAAGATCTTTTACACATTCAGAAAACAGCACGGGCGTCGGAAGCAAATTGAAAGGGGGGGGGTAAACCAACAAAAAAGTAAACCCAATTTATAATGCCTATATTATGTCTATTATTGCAAAAAAGTGAGGGGGAGCTAAGCTCTCCTTGCCCCCCCCCCCCCCCCCCCCCCCCGGTTCCGATGCCTATGAAGAGGAGGGAGGCCATTTTGATTCAAATGCTTCATACGTATTTCAAACAAGTATATCAATGTTAGTGAATTAACGTATCGCCAAACTCCGCCCATCGCGCTATGGAGATAACTCCTATGATGCTCCGACATCATCAACATAACGTGTAACTCGGTATAAGTCGACGCCGGTTGACTTGTCCGAAGTTCCTGATGATTTTGCCGCAAAATATTTGCCATACGAACTCACTTTGAGACAAAACAAAGGGCAAATGCTTTTATAAAAGCTTTCATATATTTCATTCACTTAAAATATTTAAAAAATGATTCCGTATTATCAGGGACCTATATACTAGTATATAGGTCCCTGGTATTATCCCTTTCTGGGAAAGTTTATCGAAGCATGAGGAAGTCCGAGTTCCCTCATACTGTAAACATCCATGTCGACAAAGACAGAAGCACATTGCGACTGCAAATGTGGGTACATGTAAATGATAAATTACGACAACGACCTTTCATTCAATTTGTAAAGTAATAATTTTATTAAATCAGCAATAATATACAAAACCCATACGACATTGTCAAGACATGCTTTTAGTTCCTATCTATGATGAGACGATCCTTTGATTCTAAAGGGGGGGGGTGTCTGGCTGATAAAGGAGTTGAATGCTGAATCAGTTTTGGAAATAAATAATATTTCCTCAAATGGAAGAAAATAAATAATATGCCCACACCACCTCCACAATAATCTTGGGTTGTCGACGGCGTCCCCCCCCCCCCTTTTTTTTGGCTTGTTAGACTTTTTCAGTGAAGCGGCCAACAAATAATATGCCATTGGAAATAAATAATCCGTCCTTCACCGACATGACAATAAATAATCTGTCTCTGTCTCTGAAAAAAATTAAATGCAAGCCCCTCTCCCCTTCCCGAATCAAATGGTCATTCCATAAATCTCTCGGACGCCGATAATATCAACTCTGGAAAAAACTTTCTTCTTTACCTTTAAGTCCTGGTGGAAAATGTGCACACTTTTAAGCAATAATAGATAGTAGTGCATGAAGATTTTGAATAATTTTGGTCAGATATATATTATGTATACAAATCTAATATACAAAGTTCGTGTTTTTTCATATAAAAAAGTCGGACTCATACGTTACAGATATTGGTTATAATACCGCTAATGACAATGTATGTCTTTATATAAAAAATGAAGTTATTAAATAATTTCGATATTTTGCCAATACATGATGGTGTTCTTAATAAATTAAATAATGCTAGTACATGTAATAAGTGGGAGGGGGGGATAATTAAAAAAATAATTTTTAGCGATAAATAGAATCATTTTTAATATGTAGATTAATTCGAATTTATTTTTTTTAAGTGAAAAATAAATGTTTATAAACTTAATCCTGCATATGCAATAATAACTGGTAATAAAAACCGGTAACTTTCAGACACAAGTCAACACGATAAATGTGAAAACTCAAAAAGCGTAGGCTATAGTTCTCTTTTATAATGTGTATGTATTTTGACAATTATTTTGAGGGTAAAACATGCACATACGTAGAAGTGTTATGGACTGATTAAGCATACATGTATTCTATTATTCATATTACGAATTTTTACGAATATTCGTATTTTTTTTTTTCTAACGCAAAGACAGTCTGTCAAATGAATCTCTATACCGTGTATACTGTGCATGGATTTATACCAGTTTTTTGTGTATCAAACTAAGGAAGTATACATGTATAAACATAAAAAACAAGTAAACGATTTTTATTTCATTTCCTGACCAATATTTAGAGGTCCCAAAACGTGTAAACCCAAGTCCCGAAATGTGTTGTCAGGCCTCGAAACGTCGGCGTCCCAAAGCATAGCGGTCCCGAAACATCCATAATTCCCTATCGGGATACCTGTCATCGGTATTGCACGTTCCCAAACTTCATATTTTTAACCATCATAGATTTATTTGTTCAATTTGTTTATTGTCGACCACTCAACCCACTGAGAGTGTTTGTCGGAGCATATGGCGGAGCAAGTTTTTACTGAACGCGCAGAATAAACGAAATTATTTCATTGGTTGAAAATTTGTTGTGATTGACAGCTGGCGATACGTTAATTAAACATTGGAGCTAAGAAGAAAAAGATTTTATTTTAAGAACTTGGGATCAGCTCCCCACTTTTTTTCCAATTATAATTTTACTATAATTGTAAATGCCATGGAAGGTCCGCCCCTTTTTTTGGTTGCAGAATACTAGTAGTCAAATAAGGGTAATGTGTGAGTAATAAATGGTACTGAAAGGAGTTTTTTTTTTTTTTTTTTTTTTTTTTTTTTTTTTTGGGTCAAATTGTTGTCAAGTTTTTTTTTAGGTAAGTTGAATTATTTTTCTCTTCAAGGACAAGGTCACAAGATAAATAAAATTATACATGTATTTAAAAAGGTCTTGTCACAAGCAATACAAAGATTTTATATGAAAGTCGTATGTCTTCTAATTCAAACGTCATGAACAAGGTTTATGTTTTTAAAAGTATGTCAATCTTCAAGGACAAGGTCACGGGGGCAAAAATCATAGTGCGTTTAGAAAAGATATACATATGTTATATGAAAGCCGTTCTCCACTCATTCAAAAGATGTAACCAAGGTTAAAGATGTTTTTTGTAACGGACGGACGGAACTGCAGACTGACAGATGGACAAACGAATGAGATTTCATGCCCCATCGCTTTTGCGAAAGCAAGGGACAAAAAGACCTATAACAGACCGTCGGGCAAAAATCCCTATCAAATCGGAAGTAACGTTCTCTAAATACTTTAAAATTTTATCTAAATTTTATTGAGATATATGGGTAATATCATTTAAAGACTAACATTTGCTGGTCGATCTTGTTCAAAACCATAATACATAGTTATTTCTTTTAGTTTTAGTTAGTATTTGACTAAGAAAACATTGGCACTGTTTTTTGTGTTTAAAATATTCTATTGAAGATAGATATAATTTTACCACAGTTTGTTCTGCAAACGAAATCCATGGCAACTAATATAAAAACCTACAAAAGATTGATTGATTTTATACTGTTTAACGTCCCTCTCCAGAATATTTCACTGATAGGGAGACGTCACCATTGCCGGTGAAGGGCCGCAAATTTAGGCCTATGCTCGGCACTTACGGCCTTTGAGCAGGGAGGGGTCTTTATCGTGCCACACCTGCTGTGACACGGGGCCTCGGTTTATACGGTCTCATCCGAAGGACCGCCCCATTTAGTCGCCTTTTACGACAAGCAAGGGGGTACTAACCCGGATCCCCACGGGGCACATTCAAAAGAATTAATGTGTTAAATGTTTTGTATAATACTTAAAAATGAAATAATAAGCATCTTAGATTTTATCTACATTTAGTATTTTAATATGAAAACTAGAATGTACTCGTATATAGTTTTTGTCCTGTCCGACCTTCTGTCTGTTTGATGGTCTTTATGTCCGCAAAAACTTTAACCTTGACTGGGTGGGGCTGTGGCGTTCATATTTCACAGGCGTATTCTTTTTATTTTGAAAATACCTTTCTTTAGAGCACAACCATATTTGACATCTTGACATTGACGTTGGAGTTTGACCAACTTTAAAAAAAAAATACAAAACTTCAACCTTGGACACAACTATTGAAAAGTTTTCCCCTGGGCTTTCAACCTTCACATGTCATGTGTATTTATTGTGACAAGACCTTTCAATTGGTTTAAATATTTTTGACCTTCACCTTAGAGTTTGACCCACTTCGTAAAAAAATTAACACTGACCATACTTTTGAACAGTTAGTACTAGGGTTTTCATATTTCACAAGTGTATTCCTTAAAAGACCTTCCTCTCTATATACTCGTATAACAATTTTGAACTTTTGACCTTGACCTTGGTTTTTTTTTTTGGTATCAGTGTTTCAAAAACACATTTTGTTTCTCAAGGAACACACATATGCAGTATAAAAGTCTGGCACCAACCGTACAAAAGTTTGTTTTTGGGGATGGTCAATTTCTAAGCTCAATAGATCAAATGTTTTGGCATACAGAGAAAGGCTTTTTTACAATGAATATACAAGTGAAATGTTCGAGCCATAGCTCCCACCAATCAAAGATTTGGAAAAGGTTAAAAGTTTAGACAGTGTAACAGGCAAACCAAACAACATACATGTACATTTAGTTAAGATTCCTATGCAATTAGGTGCAGAAAACTAGTCCATTCATTAAAATAATTCTTATAGTACTCCGATCCTCAGGTTCTGGAAATCAGGCATTGACCAATTGAAAATGC